ATAAACACATTAATCTAGTGCAACATCTCTATTTATTAGTATCTTAAAGTCTTCAAAAGATGGGTGATCATTCAATTCATAAAATTTTTTTGCATATGAATTTACTTGCAATATGTCCATTAAACTTTTAGTTGTGGTTTGACTCATATTCACGTTAACTTTTAGTTGATGTTTCACTCATATTTATATTATCTAATATTCTCATTCAATTTTATAGCTCATTCTTTATATCGTAGAAGTAAAACTGAAAGTATGAAGAATTATTTTCTTACGAAATTAGAACAGAGAGATTATGATATATTTCGCCATGTGCCCTAAATATAAAAATTTCTATTTTCTTTAATGCAAGGTCCTTATCAAATCTTACCCCAAACAATTTGAATAAAAAATACTATTCTAACTCATTTGCCTACGGCAATTGAATTGTATATAAGATACATAACTCATTTGGAATATCCATATCTCCTAAGTGGATTTGTTGTTGTAAGAGCAACATGTTAGAGACTCGTATTCAAACTTTTTAGCTCTATAAAAGCCACAAGAATTTGGAGTGCATAGCTTATATATCGTAAAGAACATATCAATTCTTGAAGAAGTTTTCCTAATAATGATATTATTACAATGATATTACTATTCAATATTAAACCAATTTTATTATATAAGATTATATGAACCTTTTTAATAAATTATAGGTATATATATAAAAATTTCGATGTTTATAGCTAGTAGTTGAGCTCCACAAAATAGGTTAATTTTACATTGTAGTTTGTTATTTGTAGTACTATTGACAATATCATTACATTTCCTCTTTATCTTATTATTCACATTTTTCTAATGTAAGTTCTTTTTTGCTAATCATTCAATTGATTATATTTAGTTTTTATAATATCAGATGTTATAATATTCTCTTTTATTTAAAAAGTGTTGACATCATTTTCTTAAAAATATATGCACATAGTAGCAATAGTATATACTTTAGTGTAACTCAAACATTGATTTGAAGCCTATTTAGAGTGAGGTCCTTTCTATGCTAGAATAATGATATAGTGATTACACAGTCTAAAGTCAATGAAGAAATTTCTATAAAGGAAAAGTAATTTAATATGTCAAATTAAGAACTAATTTATAAAATATACATGAGCAGTGCAGATAGCTATATAAAGTAAGGTATATATCTTCTTAAAAATTTCATAGTGAGTGACCAACTACAATCATCCTAAATTAAGCATAAATAATTATTATTTTAGTTACTAATGCATTACGCGTAACTATAGAATAAATCTCTAGCAAAAAATAGGAATTGAGATTGTATTATGCTATAGGTAAATAAATAAATGTTATTAGAACTCCTCTTTATATTAAATTTAAAAATAATAATTTAAATTATTAAACACTATATATTAGCTTATGTGAGAAAGTAAAGTAATCTATGTTCTATATATGTATATAGTCAATCAATCAAACATATTAAAATTATGATGACCACAGTCAAAATTATATGGCCGGTTCACATTAAATATAATTTATAAAAAATAGTACATTAAAATCAAAATATTTTTAACCACTATATAGATTGTCTAAAATTTTGGCATATATAAACTATACTGCATAGGAATAGTGATGTGCATACTTAACTATGGTCTAATAAACTTAAGAACGACTTATTCTTCAATATTATTATTAATTAAAGTATACGTGCATTACACTAAAAACACAATAAAAATTTAGAAAACTACAAAATAAACACCCTCAAAAGTTTTAAAAAGTGTAAATAAGCACCCTAAAATTTGTAATTTATAAATACACAAAACTATTTAACATTACATTGAAATCAAGTAATTATAAAAAAAAATCATTAAAAAGTTTCAAACTTTGAAGGGGTAATTTATAATGTACTATACTTTAAGGGTGTTTTTTATAAAATTTAAATTTAATAGGTTTTCAATTAGTTATGTTCTTTTTAAAAAAGTTATGGGTAATATTTACCATAAAAAGTTTTTCCTAAACCTATATTTAAAAAAGTGTATGATATTTTTTACAAAATTTTAATTTTCTAGGGGTTGTTAGTAATTTTGCATATTCATTTTAGTATCTATAGGTTAGAAATTCTCATGGTATTTTTTTGTAAATTATGAATTTTAAGGACTTTTTGTAATTTTTTTAACTTATAGGTATTTTCTACAGATTGTAAATTGTTTATAGACTATTTGTAATTCCTTTTTAACTTATAGGTATTTTTTACAGATTGTAAATTGTTTATAGACTATTTGTAATTCCTATGCTTTCAATTTACTAATGAATTTAAAAATTTTATGGTATTTTTTATAAATTTTGAATTTTAAAAGTTTATTTGTAATTTTTGAAACTTTAAGGGTGTTTTCTATAAATTATAAATTATGTAGGGGATATTTATAATTCTTATATTTTTAATGTACTGTTAGGTCAGAAATTATCTAGATTTTTATAAATTTTATAAATTTGAGGGTTTTATTTTGTAATTTATAAAAAGTTCATTGTGTATTGCAAATTCCATACTTTTTTAGGGGTTGTTTGTGTTATTTGTAGGTTTTTAGTATGTTTTTAGGTTTGAAAATTTCAAGGGGTTTTTTATAAATTTTAAATTTTTAGGGATGTTTTTATAATTTTTAAAACTTACAAGATATTTTTTCTAAAGTCAAAAAACTTTTAATTTCTAGTTAGTATATATTTTTTAGATTTCTCACTGAATTAAGATAAGTAAAATTTATAATTTTCAAGATGTTTTAATAAAATTTTGAATTTGTAGGGGTATTTTTGTAATTTAAAAAAGTTAGAGAATGTTTTTTATAAAGTCCAAAAACTTATAGGTGCTGGCTAGCATATGTTTTTTAAATTTCTCTACGAACTGAAATAAGTAAATGATTTGAATTATAGGAAACATATTTATTTTATCCGATAAAATGTTAAGTCTCATTATAAATATAATAAATCATTTGATTTTTAATTCAAAGAAGACATGATAGTTAGAATAGATTAAGATAATAATGTAATATTAAAAAAAAACTAAGGATAATATTGACATAGAATTTTTTTTCCGAATTCGTACGTAAAAATTTTGGCATTTTGGTGGAATTTCAAATTCTATGATTAAAAAGTTTTTTTTTTGGGTTTTAGAATTCTATAAAACTTGTTTGTTTCAAAACAAATTTTAGAATATCAAATCCCCAAATAATAAAAAAGTATTATATTTAAGGATTTGTGAAATCCTTCTTTTTGGGTGGGATGTGGGGTGGATTTCAAAAAGTGTTAGACAAATTAATGATTTCAAATTCCCAAAAAATTGAAACAAACAAAAATATTACAAATTATAGTATTCTAAATCTCAAAATATTGTTGAAACAAATAAAGTTTTAGGAATACAAACTTATTACAAATTACCTATTGATTTCAAATCCTATGATGAAATTCATATCCTAAAATTATAAGATTTGAAACAAACACCCACTTAAAGGGAGTATGATGGAGTCAAAACACTAACAAAATTATAATACACTTTATCTTCTTCCATATCAAAAAGTAGGGGTGGGCAAAAACCGAAACAAACCGGTTCAACTGAAAAAACCGCCCGAAAAAACGGATCGGTCAACCGAACCGAATTAAATGGATGAGAAGAAGTCTCTAAACCGCCCGAACCGAATTAAACCGGTCTGTATCCGGTTTGAACCCCTGAACCGCCCTAAAAAAACCGAACCGAATTCTTAAACAAAAAGTAGCTGCGAGCCTTGGGTGTGAAGAAAATTTATGGCTGAATGTTTAGCATTTAAGAATTGTGGGGTGGAGTTTATACTAACATATATTTGAGTACGCTGATATAGTTAAGTGAGATTTCCGTAAATCAATACAAGATGTTGAGGTTGAAGGATAAATTTAGTGTTTTGGTCAAATTTCAGTGATAACATGAATACAACTTGCTAGTGCTGGATATCAAATTAACCTATAGTATAGGCTGTCAAGGATATAAGATAATTCTTGATGAGAAAAAGACAGCTAAAAAATTAACGAAAATCATCAAAAGGTGTGTGTGCCTGCAAAATATTGTTCTTTCTCTAAAAAAGGCTACATAATTACATGGTCCTCCTAGTGTATTAAACTAGTTATATTCAGATCATACAATTTGATTAAGTGGCTTAGTACAGTTTTGATTGTTTCTTTTCAGTTTTGATTGCTTCTTTTCAGTTTTGGATATAACTAAAACTTACCCAGATTTTTGTAAAATAGAGTTAATTCGGTTCAAAACCGAAACCGAACCGAATTTCGGTTGGGCCGAATATTCGGATGAAAGAGAAAAAATCTGGATCTGGATGAGAGTTTTGAGAATTCGAAAAATTTGGATTGGGCTTAAAACCGAACCGAACCGAATAGCCCTATCAAAAAGCGTAACTCGTTTCAAAAGTTCCCTCACCCAGTGCCGTTAAATCCAAGGATTAACGTGTCACATGCTCATGCCACGTAGCTTATTTTCTCCTGCAAGTAATTTGGTCCACGCTTTGGTCCCATTTGTTGGTGACATATTCTTTTCACTGACTGTAGGGGCCCACACCTCTCGAAATCTGGCGTTACTGTCCAAAATGAAGCACTATTATTTTCGCCCAAATTAGAATACACACAGCCACGTTCAACCTGAACGGGTCCCAGTAAAACGTGGGTGTAAAAACCACAAATCGAAAAAACTTGTCCTCGCACCCGAATAATTAAAAACCCTCAAAGTTCAGGAAATAAAACTATGCCACGTGTAAATATTCGCATGGGTCCCGAAACATAGTCCCATTGACCAATAGACCCTCGGTATTAATAAGGCGGAGGCCAATAGCCACCGCATCATTTCTTCTCTCAAAACCTCAATATCTCAATGTGCTGAGCTCCGAGCTCTCCGATGGCGGTAAAGGGCAAAGGGAAGCAGATCGCCGGGAAAGCCCCGGCCTCGTCTCCTTCGACCTCTTCAGGTAAGAGGAAGAAGGTGATGCAGGAAGAGGCGCTCCGGCGTCCTCCAGTTTTTCGACGACGCCGCTGAAGACGACGGTTATGAAGAAGATGAGGAAAATGAGGGTCAAGACGATCTCGTCTACGACGACAAGGATCTCAACCTCGGTATAATTTCTTGCTGATTTTAGGGTTTTGGCTCTAAATGCTGTGTTGTTTAGGGTTTTGTTGAACTTATTTTGGTTTAGGTGCGTGTATTTGTGAATGTCGGCGGTCTAGGGTTTGGATGGAGCGAAATATAGGGCTTCTATATTATTGGGACTTTTTTGGTTGTTTTCGTGCATGTATGTTAGGTTTGATACTGGTACTGCATCAAAGGTGGAAGTTTGAAATGAAGGATAGAGATTTTTGAGTTTTCATTAATGTCTTCTTTGCAAACGAGATATTTTTCTTTGAGTTTTTAAAATGGTCTTTTTTAGGGGTTTGCTGTTGTTATTACGCTCTCACAAAGAGATGATTTTCCCCCTTTCTCTTGCCATTTTCGAGATCCCTTCTCTTTATTTTTGAACAGTCCTATCCATTTCAATTTTTTGGTTTGAACGGAAATTTTGATTTGCATCCATTTCCTTATGCATGTGGATGGGTCTAGGCTTCTATATCTAGTAGAGGGCTTCAAGTTCTGATAAGCGAAGTCCTGGGAAAGTCACCAATGTTCCGAATAGTACATATCTTCTAAAGTTCTTTTTTTTGGGTGTGAATGGGCCTGTTTTCTTAAGTTGTGCTATTCGGTAGTTTTTTCACAAGACTGGAGTTTAATTCTTCACGGAACAATTGCATGATGTATTTTGCAGTCTGAACGTTTTATCCCCTCCTTTAATCTTTGCTTTTTTTCTAGGTAATTTCCCATCGTTTCGAAATCTCTATATATATGCATAAATGTCTAGAATTTATATTTCCTCTTCTTGTTGCTTTGTTTTCAGTGTCAGTGTGCAATCCAGTCCCTTCCTCCCTCCCTCCCTCCCTCCCTGAAAAAGAAAAAAAAAAACAGTGTGTGCATGCGCGTGTGTGTTACACACAGCAAGCTCTGCTACATTTACGCCTTACATGCACATTTAAGGATTCCAGATTTATGCATGTGCAATGTATTTAAATGGAGATAACAATAACCATTCGTAGCTAACCACAAGGCTATTCCATGGCGATTGTAGTTATGGTACCGTATACGGAATGCTTTTTATGAAATATGTGCTATATTGTTTTTATCGATATCCTTTGACAATGATCAGTGTTTCCTTTTCCCATGGCACTTGACTTGACCTTCCTTGTGTACTTTTATTAATATATGCAAGTGAAATATAATCTGATTAACTTTACTTTGTGACCTGTCGTTCTTGTTTCTTTAGCATTACCTATCCTTTAGGTCATATTTTTCTTCTTCTTGGATTAAGCATTTTATTGCTTTTCACCATCACTTGCTCCCAAATTATTCTCTCTCTGATTCCCAATTACAGGGTAACATCCTATTCTTTTGAGATATACGTGTTCCTTTTAGCAATTCACTTCATGGATATGCTAAAGTTTCTTATGTCCTGTTACCATTATTTGCTTTTACTTACTTCATCCTTCACTGAACAAGAGAATTCACTTTGCTTTGATGTTTAATTTCTTTGCTTCTGTTATGATATATCAGAACATATTTTTTCTGTAGCGCCATAATTTAAATGCCTCAATCTGATTATGTATTAGGGAAGCATTTTGTCTCTTTCTTTTTATGTTTAAAACTTTAACTTATATCCATAATGCTAGAATATATCCATAATGCTACAATATTTCTGCTTATCGGTAAACAGATATCAACAAGGAAAGCAGTAAAGATTTTAAAGGTGCTGGGAAATCCCCTTATCTCCCTATATTTGTCAAGGAAGAAGAGGTGAGTGGCGATGAATTGGAGGAGCTAATTAAAGACCGTTATGGAAAAGGCTCGGAGTATGTTGTATATGATGAAGATCCTAAACAAGATAATGCTGCTGTATCAGTAGAGCATTTGGCAGGGGATCCAAATATTTGGAAGGTTAAATGCATGGTGCGTTGTTGACTTTCTTCAGTCAACTAATGCTATTTGATTGCTGTTTTTTTCTATATGTTTTGTTGACTAGGTATTGTTGCAGGTTGGTAAAGAACAACAAATTGTTCTATCCTTAATGCATAAATATGCCGACTTGCAGAGGCTTGGAACAAAAATGGACATAATTTCTGCATTCACTCTTGAGCACGTAAAGGGCTATGTATACATTGAAGCTGATAAAGCATGTGATGTTGTTGAGGTATATCCTTGACATCTCCTTTACATAAGGATAGCTATCGCTATCAGTTACGATCACTATGTAGTTAGGATTGGTGGATCTTCTTTGTATGAATTCCATATATCAAATTTGCTTATTATATAATTTTATTTAACCAAGATAAAAACTTTATTTAAAAAAAAGAAAACGAAAAAGAGTTGAAGTACAAAAATTGTGTAAAGTTATGAAGTGATCAGAATAGAAATTCCTTTTGGGAAGCTTGGACACTACATTTCCTACCTTCCATACGTTTGATGCCACAGGAGATGAGTGCTTTATTTACGTGCTAACTCTCTTGCGATATCTCAACTCTCCATGTTGGTTACGGTTCACTTTTGAATCTATCATCATGTTTCCTTTCTTTTTGAGGCACTGCTAACCCTGCTGTATCTAGCAACTTAAAGCTTTCAAAGTCTTTCCTAACTACCTTGATTGGTCAGAAACTACTCTCTCATGCTTTAAAATCTTGAGTTTGGATTATTTGGGTTAGATCTAAAGTCCCAACCGAAATTGGTCGACTCATTTTGATTCAATTCCACTAGCCAGGTATTAAAAAAATAATATGCTGCCATCTCACCCACCTATTCAAATCTTTACCAATTTGCCCCCTTTTCACGACAACACACCTTTGTCCCCCTAATTATCTGACCTTAAAATTGTCGTCCATCCTCCAAAAACCTTCATATTCACTTTGAAAATCCTATCAGGAACTGCTCTCTTGTGCTCAAAGCAGTGGCATGTGAATAGTTCGTTAAGAGGGGTCCAGCGAGAGCTGTAATGTTGTGTGATCAAAGGAGCAAATTGATGATTGTTGAGTGTACACTGCCACCTTTTCTTAAGCAAAAGCCCATAGGATGATTGCATTTCCGAGGGGACATGAGTATTTGAAGGTGATGAGGTTTGTACTTAAAGATGTCTGCTAGTAAATTCTCCTTGCTTATACACTTTATACCATAGATTTAAAACTAATTTGTGGCTTATGTTGACCCCATGATGGAAAAAACAACTACAATATTTGTGCTTTAGGCTCGTTGCATGTAACCTCCAGTAAAAGGTTGAGATGATCCCTCCCCATTTTAAAGCAGAGCTTTTGGGCAGTTCTCCATTCCCACTGTTGGATGATCCTTCTGCCATTTCACTAGAAATATGAAAAGCTGGGTTACAAGCTTTGTCTTGTAGCGGGGCATTCAAACTCTTGGATGAGACTTTCCAGCAAGATCAACGAGACCCTATTTGCTCTTGAGACACTCTTCTGTCATGAGTTAATTGGATATATGGTACATTAGAGGTACAACTTGTAAACAAGCTAAATGTTCACGATATTTTTATTTTAACGCATGTAATCAAAATGTAGTGGTAGAAGTCTATCATCTTTTACTTTAGGTCTTTAAGACATATGACAGACTGTGGTCCGTTACAATTGGTGAATTATTTGATACGAGCATATTTAAAAAAGCATACTGATCTGAAAACTGTTACGATTATGTTTTCCCTATTTCTTAGACAGATTCCTATCTAACCTTCTTTGCGTTTAAAATAAGCAATTGTATATGATACAGCCAAAGGATGCCTTGCTATAAGCATCTCTTTCATCCTGCTATGTCTTAGGCCTTTTGTTCATGCCCATCTCCTTTATTTGCATAATATCATGTGTGAACATGATAGCATTATGAGAACAGCTTTCAAGTTCTGAAGACTTCTGTACATCAGTAAAATATTTCTGCTTTTACTCTAAAATATTCTTATTATAACCTATCCCAACCAGTATAAGTCTGCAAGTTTGCAAAACTGGTGGCGCAAGTATTCATTACCTTCTTTTTTTAAACATACTAGTATCACTGCACGTGCAAATTCACATGCAATAGACATTAAAACATTTTTCTGTTTTCTATATAAATAATGTCCCAAAGTTAGATCATTTCTTAACTTTGCTACCTTTTAATAAAAAACAGTGGACCAAAACACAAAACGTTGAAGTTTAAACTTATCCCAAAATAATGTAATATTCTTATAAATTTGAGACTTGAGAATGAAGTTCATTGTAGAGTATACTACTTTTTTTATTAATCTATGACACTAAATATCAAGTCAAAGCGTTGTAGAGAATATTTTTCCGCAATAATATAAATAATATAAGAGTTGTGCAAAAAATTCTTTCTACAATTGAAAATAAAAAATTAGGCTTCGAAATCAGTCATGTTAAAATTTTATATTAAAACAATTACATAATAATTTTATACTCTCAGATTTATATATTCTATAATTTCTAAGTTTATTTAAGAACTATTATTTGATTTAGGAGAGTCGGGGGGACCTTCTTGTATTTATTATTATTTTCCTCATAAGTTCGAGAAGAATCAAGTTCTAGAAGTTCTTTTTCGATTTGATTTTTAGACGGGATAGAATGAGTGGACCCTCACTTGGTTGATGAAATTACAAACTTATCGTTAGTTTTGAAAGGGTGAAATGAAGGAATGTCTTTCTTCTACAAGTCTCTAAATATCCTTAGCTACTCTTCATAAGTAGAATAAATAGTGCTAACTAATAGAAGCTTAATTTGAAATAATTTAGATAATCTTTAGGATTCAAAATAAAATATCAAGTCCTGGATTATTTATGCCAAATGTCCATTTGATTCAAAATTGACAATAACCTTACTTGGATCTTTATATAATAGTATGGACATAGAGGGGAAATAGTGAGGGGAAATTTATTGCAAATTGTTCCAAAGAAAAGTTCTTAAAGGCCCTAAGTATTTAAAAAAATCACTACATGTAAAAATTTGTGGTTACTGAGAGGACACGTGTTGTAGTAAGGGTTACTCTTTTATTCTTTCTTCAAAAGCCAAGTGCGGATTTACCAAAATTTCTATTGGGGTGGCAAAGCCATTCAAACATTTTGGTACCCCCACTAGGTTCTTTATATTATAGTATTAGTCCTTCTGGCCAATAGTGTAGACTCATTTTGTTAAGAGGAAAATTATCTGCACAAACTTAAAGAGGTATTGTCTGCCTGCCAGTTCAACCTTGCTTACTTTCTTAGTGTCTGTGGAATATGATCACTAGATAGTCCAGTGCAATATGCTTCTCCATCTCTATCCCAGAAGAAACTTAGTTTTTTTTTTTGTTTTAATTTTAACCAAATCATGTACATATCTGTGGAGCCTCTTTTAGCTGCTTTTATTGACACTATACCTCTCCTAGGCTTGCAAAGGGTTTTTCAATATATATTCAACCAGAATGGGGCTTGTGCCTAATACTGAGATTCCGCACTTGCTTTCTATTCGGAATAAAGCCTGTATACTTTCCAAAGGTACATGGGTTCGTATGAAGAGTGGGAACTACAAAGGTGACCTTGGACAGGTGTGAGATTTTACCCTCAGTTTCTGGATGCTTTTATTATTCTCTAATGCTTCACATTTTAATCATTTTTCTGCTGAAAGGTCGTGGATTATGATGACATGCGGAAGAAAGCAACAATTAAGCTGGTTCCACGAATCGATCTACAAGCTATTGCCAAAAAATTTGTGAGTGCTTTTCCTAAGTACCATTCCTTAACCATAACGAAAGTGACATGACAAATTCTCAGTTCCACTTATGCCCATATTTCCGATGCTTATTATTTTAACCTGAGCTATCCCTTAAGTTCATCTTTTTATTCCATGTTACTTGAAATCTGATCTTCCATGTGTTGAATTGCACGTAAGAATATTGAGGAATGGCATAAACAGTTCTTTGGGTCAATTTTTTTATTATTGAAACACAAGTTCACTAGCATAATTTTCAAACTTTTGTCATTCTGCCATGAAAAGTTCTCTATCTTGCCACCTAATATTTATGTTCTTTCTTATTCTATATTATAGTTATGTTCAGTTCTGTCCTGCGTTAGCTATTTGGATTTTTATGTAATTATTCATTCAACTCTTATGCTTCTATTCATGCACCATTGCATTTGATTTTTAGGGTGGTGGTGTATCTTTGAAGGAAGCTGCTGTTCCTTCTCCACGGTTGATAAGCTCTCACGAGTTAGAGTAAATTCTCTACCTGTCCAGTGGTATGGTTGGATTGTTTTGGTCTCAATGGTCTCATGTTGTAATTTCTTTTTACCTTTCCATTTGTCAGGCAATTCAGGTCTCATATAGAGATCAGGCGTGACCGCCACAGTGGTGAATGTTTTGAGATACTTGATGGTTTAATGCTGAAGGACGGCTACTTGTACAAGAAGGTATCCATTGCATCTATTGTCTACTGGGGGGTAGAACCTTCAAAGGATGAACTTTTGAAGTTCACGGAGATGAGCAAGCCTGAGGAGGAAGATGTAAGCTGGCTTTCTAGCGTTTATAATGTGCGTAAAAAGATAAAACCATCCAAGGATTCGGACCTAAAAGGATCTTCTGAGAAAGGGAACAGTTTTAATCTCCATGACCTGGTGTTATTTGGGTTAGTACTTCCAAGAATTGCATTGATGATACTTATTAACAATGTTAAATCATGCAATTTTAAGTTATAAATTCTTGTTTATTAATTTTGTTCATGTCAGACGTAAAGCATTTGGTGTCATAATAGACATGGGGAAAGATGGCACGATGAAGGTAGGCAGGTTTTGCATACATTTTTCTTCTGTAATTAACTGTAAATTATATTTGAAATAATACTTTGTTCAGGTATTGAGGGGTGACAAAGAAGGACAAGAAGTCATCACAGTTAAGGCCGAGGCCATAAAAAGTCAATGTGTTGATAAGATGTTCACAGCTTCTGATCGCCACAGAAAGACCATTTGCATAAATGACATTATTAAGGTGTTGGAGGGCCCATTGGAGGTATGCTTTTATGTTCTCCATCTTTCTCATGGATTTTATTTCACTTTCAGAAGTATTTTTTCCTTTTAATCATCTATATGCTTCTGTCCACTGTATGGTGACTATTTTAGTTCTATGGCATCAGTTACACTGAATTGCAAGATGTATAAGTGATAAGCGTGATATTGCGTAGTGAACTAAGTAATATAACAAAAGACCTATGTAGATTGTGTTTGTTGTGTGAAGGACACAGAGCTCTTTAAGCTGTTACAGTTTGTTATGTCTAATGTTATAAACAGCTTCATGGTGCTTGAATCCTCTTTTGCAGGGTAGACAAGGAACTGCTTGTCATATGTACAAAGGAACTCTTTTTATCTATGATGAGAGCCAAGAGGGAAATAGTGGAATATTTTGTACTAAGTCAGACTTATGCGAGAAGATTACACCAGCAAAGGATTCATTTGGGAAGGTGGTACATTGTCCCTACTGTGTCTTCTCTACTTTTAGTTGCAGTCATTTGATTTCTTTTGCTGTTGCAGGGAAATAAGGCAAGCTCTTCATTCAGCCAAGATCCAGTAATATCCTCTGAGCAAGAAGATAGTTCATGTACTTGTGTGAATCTTATTCCTTGAGCTCTTTTGTATGTAAAGAATGTGATTGTAGACCTCTAATATAATATATGTTTAAAACAGTTAGCAGGAATCGCCGTAGGGAGTCAAACCAGATATTCTCCGTCGGGCAGACCTTGAGAATTCGAAAAGGACCTTTGAAGGGTTATCTTTGTCGTGTTGTCCGAATTTACCGTTCAGATGTTACAGTCAAGTTGGATTCTCTGGTGAAGGTCATTACAGGTTTGTATATCAAAAGAAGTAACACATATGAGCATTGCTCTCAAGAGCGGATTCTAATGTTTCCTCAACATAATGCTTATGCAGTTGACGAGCAGTTGCTTTCTGATCCTAACTTAAAGAGGTACGTAAAATATTGAGGTGCCTCTGCATATATTTACGTCCTTATTTCAATGTCTTGCAATTTCTTCTTGCAATTTTTTTTAATTTTGTCTGGAGCAATCATCTGCTCATTATTTCATTTGTTATTTTCAATTCGCAGGGACACTGCAGGAGGTATGTCTGTCGATATTTTTGGAACTCAGGACAGACCTATTGCTTATCTACTATATTATGTGAATGGTTACTTTGATAATATTTGTGTTAAGACCAACTTGGACAGGTTCTACACTTCTGGTTCTTTTGTTTTCTTCAGTGCCATCTGTTCCTGTTTTCTTTTCTCAATTTGATATAAGATATCTGTAATTCTTTGGCTATCTGCTAATGGTGATGACTATAAATTCTATTAAGAGACCTGATATTTTTTACGAAACTTTTGAGTATACAAATTATAAAAGTTTGTAATAACCAAGGATTATAGTATTTGCAAATGTCAAGCTGCATTTGGCATTTTGGGTCTGAAATTGAAGGGGCTGAGCTGAAACTCCTGTTAAGGGGAAGCAATCAAATTTCTATTGATATATGTATGTAGCAGCTTGTTTCAGTCCAGCTCCTGCGGAAATGGACCAGTATCAATTTTGGATGGGAACTACTTTTGTTGTCTTCTTTTGTTAAAATTGAGGGGCAAAAACCTTAAACAGATTTCATTCCCACTAAATAAGAAAGTGATAGAGGAAAAAAACATCACGGACACTGTTTTATAGTATCAGTAGTTAGACAATTCTTTTCTATTTTGGGAAAATTCTAAATTGGAGTCCAACTTACAAGTAAGAAAAATAAAATGGCACCAGAAAGTAGGAACCGAGATAATACTCTGCTTTGTACTTGTGGATGGTTTTTTTTCCCTGTTTTGTTTTTTCCCTAGAATTTTGGTTTTTCCTTTTTTTGGGTGGTTTTTGGAGGGTGGGGTAAATTTGCCTCGCTGCCCACTGCCCTTTATGTGGCTACTTCCAACTTTTAACAGTTTCCCACGAAGGAGAAAGTTTATCATTTGGTATGTGTGGCTGGGTGAAGAGAGAATGAGAGTAATATTTTAGCTATTATAACACTAAAACACAACCATTCTCAATTGATAAAAAAGAAGAAGAAGGATTCTGGTGTATCAAACAAAGAAGGGCCATCTGACCATGTTATTACTTGGTTATTTTTTAACCGTAAGGTTTATGCCAAATAAAAGTGTAGAAAAATCAGTGGATACAGAACCTTTTTGTAATAAGTTAATAACTGATGAATGTGAATTATAATACAGTAGTAATCATCTATTTTGAGCAGTAAAGTACAATGTTGCATCATCCATTCTTCTTGACAATATGAGACTAGTTAGTGTGTTTAAGTAATTGTTAGTTTAACAAAGTGATAAAGGATTTAGCCTAGGATTGATTGATTAATTATCAGGTGAGGATAAATAGATTGAATTTTTCTAATTGCTATATTAAATCAATTTCATCTCTATTTGGAAATAATGATAGCATCAACTATTCTGTTAGACAAGATTTCACGAGGACCCAATTTAAACATTATGAATTATCAACTATTAAATAGAAAGAAATGCTGCTAATTCCTTTAGTATAGGTAATTTTAAAAGTTCTAGGCCATTGGTATTGGATCCAATATTCTGGAGATGAAACCGCTTAAGTGGCTTTATTTTCTGATATTATTGTATAAATTGCAACTTGAAACTATTGGAATGTTTGATAGTAATTATACTCCTTTAGTTTTTGACCTTGCCCCCTTCCCTTCCACTGTAGTTGTATCCTCTTTTATACATAAACTGAAACTCCTTGGCAGGATCGAGGAGGTCATTTGAGTTGCTGACTTTTACTCGCTTATTTTCATATGGTGTTTTGTTGATAATTTTTGCAGGTGGATTATCTGGAAATGGAGAACAGACTCTGGGTGCAAGTTCATGGGATGGTGGCAGGTAAAAAGAAGCTCGTATAATATGTTTACCTTTAACAGCCTTCATTTATCAGATTAGTAAGAGCAAATGTAGACTGTCAATGTCCTTTACATGGTTCGGTTGGTCATTCTTTCGTGATAGTTATCTTTCAAGAGCAGAAAACAGTATAGATATGGCAATTACTCCTTTAGATATTTAGATGTACCATGGCTGGCAGTAGGTTTACGGTGTTGAGATGGTTGGCAAAGTTATGAATCATGCAGATGTGGCTTTAAGTATCATTTTGCTTATTTCTTGTGCATGGGAAGAATTTGTTTCACAAACAAAGGAAGCTAAAATCTTCTAATGTGAGATGCACATTGATTATTCAAAAGAACTGTTTGATTTTGCTTTTTCAGATTGGTTTCCAGCAAATGCTGGTTGGAAAATATGACCGGCCTATCCATTGTAAAAAGTTTGCAAAAGAAGGTTAAAAAAAGAAATTAACATCAATACATATGTATCTCTTTGGAAAAACAATGGAGGATGAAAGCCATAAAAGGATACCAATAATATAGATTTACCTAGAAAGTGACACATATTTACTAGTTTTGCCGGAAAAGTGATACTGACATAATTTTAACGTAAAAAATGACAAATCCGTAGCACACAGGCCTTTTCGATCGCAAGAGATAATTTAAGTGAAATATTAAAGGAATTTTACATTTAGACCCAGAATCTCTCATATATTTCGAATTAATCCCCTCTCCCTCCTTAAATTGTGAAATTTATTAAAAACACAATCCTTTCTTCCCACTAGCTCCTTCCTCATCTTTCCCATCATGCCCTCCATTTTCTTCTTCTTCATATCCCAAACTTTTCCTTCTTCCTCCCTCTCCTTCCACTTCCTTTTTATATCTTCACTCTTATGACCTTATCTCCTTCATTTTCTTCTAGCTCATCTTAATAACAACCTCTCTCCTCCTTCTCCTCTTCCTTTCTCTCACTCCCTCTCACACCTTATTTTGCCCACTTCTAATCCCCACCATCAAATATTCTATCAAAAACCCAACCTCCTCATCTTCTTTCATAATTTTAATTGGATGGTTTTTGGAAAAAAATAATTTGGAGGAGGTTGGATTTTTAATAAAATGTTTGATGCTGGTGATTGAGAGTGTACAAAGCAAGGAGGGAGATGGAGGAGGGGGGGAAGAGGAAGAGGAGGAGAGAGTAGGATAGAGGTTGTGGGTTGAGAGGAGCTACAAAAGAATGGAGGAAATGAGAGAGAGAGAGGAGGCGATATGACCATGAGAGTGAGGATATTGAAAGGCAGTTGAAGGCGAAGGAAGGAGGAAATGTTGGGATATGGAGAAGAAGAAAAAGGAGGAGATGGCGATAAAGATTGGGGAGAAGATAGTGGGAAGGGAGGAAAATTTTTATTACATATTTCACAATCTAGGGAGAGAGAGAGAAGGGTTAATTCGAAAAATATAAGAGATCAGAGGTCTATATGTAAAATTTCTTTGATATTTCATTTAAAAATTATCTCTGGCAATCGAAAAGGCCTATATGTCACCGACTTGTCACTTTTTAGGTTAAAGTGTCATCGATATTGCTTTCTAGGTTAAAGTGACTTTTTAAGCTAATCTTAATCTGGTATTTTAGCCCCTATCCTATGTAGCCGTGGTTGCTTTTGGCACCATGAATGTGATAGAAATCGTCTTTTATTAAGAAACATGAAGGGAAAAAAAGTTCGTTGTTAATTTGGATTCAGTTGGATTTGAGTGAGAATTGGCAAGAAACTTATTCACCTTCAGAATAAAGTTAAGTCTTAATAGTGAGAGATCATACAATGAGATTGAGTCAGATTAAGGACCTGACTGTAGCTTGTCATACTGTCTTGTAAATTTAGCCTCTTCAATATTGCTTTTTCGTTATGGTTCTTGAAATTAAATTCAGCTTTTATCATACTAAACATTTTATATCCGAACAAAATTATGGATAATGACAATTATTTTGTTTCCCATGGACTGCAAATTGGCTTGGTAATCTGTATGGTTCACTTTGCGCTGTGGTGCCTTTCCCAACTTTTGGTTTGATCTGAATGCCGTAAACTGTACATTATTAAAACTGATATATCATTGGATTTTCTAAACTTTGCAGCAAATAGTTATTTTTCTCGCCTTTCAAAATTTTTGGTTCTGTTTGATAAATAGTTCTTTTCCTAATCATTAGACTGGTGATTCGGAAAATTGCAAGATACAATTTTTCTATCCATATATTTTATATGTTGATTGAACAAATGTTGTGGACATTTTCTTTTGACCCTTAGTGTAGTTTGGTTTGCGGGAGTGAACTCTATGTTTGTGCCGAGGGAAGAATGATGCCTCTTGCTGTCTCCCTAATGTTTATAACACATTGCATGGTGAACTAAAGAAATAGGAAAACATAACATGTTGTTAGACGTCATCGCACCCTCTTGACTAACTACGGAAGGGTCTCACATCCCCATCTATCAAATGGCCAAAAATAAATTGGAATGAACGATGTTGCTTAAATGTCGTCATTGAATGGAGGACACCCTGACGACATTTGTTTTTTTTTTTTCCATTCTAGTTCTCTTTTGTTTTTGTTTAGCTCGTGTAGATCACACTAAGGGTTTTAATTAAAAAATAAGGCCTATATAGGGGTGCAAATGAATAGCGTAAGGGTCGGATATGATGCTTACTATATTTGTATCTGATACAGGTACATGTATTCACAAAAATGAATACAAATACGGATATACATATGAATATATATGCTGATACACGTGGATACAGAATGGATATGAAAAAACTAGATAAGATTGAAAAAATATAGTTCATATGATACAAGCGAATTCATTCGTGTGTTTGTTATATTTGAAAATCTAAGATTAGACACATAATCATCTAACTTCAAATCTATTAATTTAAGAATTAAAACAATTGCAATTGTATGATCAAAATATAGATATTTTGGACACGGGTACATATATTTCACTATGTATATGAATCCACTATGTATATGAATCCGTAACCATATCCTATCAGATGTAGATATTTATTAGCCTTATTCGTATTGAACATCAATATATCCGCGGATACGGTTTTTTTTGGCAGCCCTACCTGTCTATCGTGCGCTTTGGGGGAAACTATTTCATAATTCTTTATATGATCCCCCCGCGCCCTCCTAATCCATCCTTCTGTATGTGTGCACATGCATTCATGCAAGAGTTCTACAGTTGCATAGGAGCTCATCCATTGTTCAAGTGACATGTGATATGCATGCTAAACCTTATCAAATATTGAAGCCTTCTTTTCCTACATGTTCTCTTTGTTGTTTAGTGATTTACGCATTTCTGGCTGTTTACACTGGCTTGTAACTGCAATAAAACAATGTCATTACTGGTAATAGCCAAACGAAGCTAATCAGGAGTAAAACTCTCATTTTATGATTTTAAAAATATGTTCATGGATATTTTGTAGAATGCATTAGCACGTCTATTTCAGACGTTCCATCCTTCACTGATCCTACTTCTTTTGCATGTCTCTATTCTACTTAAAACTTCTCTCAGATTTTCTATTCCGTACTTTCAGTGCCCATGTTCATCTTTTTGCTGTATTTGAGAACTCCTTTGCTTTTCCGGATCTATTGTTTTTGAAGTTTGACAGCCATGTCAAAGGCGAGGTTAAGGTGAAAAGCTTCTATTTTTCTGAGGTGATACGCTCCAAATGAGGCAGTTTTCATAGTGAAGCAAATGCGATAAAATTTTCCAGAAGTTCATAAAAATTACAATTAATGTCAATACATCAAAATCATCTTTATGATTATATTAAGAAAATCAACAAAAATTTCAAAAGAAAGAAACATTAAATTTAAGAAGAAAAATTAAGTTTTACCTTACTGGTTGTCGCTAGTAGGGGTTGGCGATGAAGATTACTAAGATGATTGCCTTTTGGCGCCTCAAGAGCTCGCCTTGGCGCCTCGTGACCTTGCCTTGGCGTCTCAGGCGCTCGCTTAAGGCATGTGATGCAAGGCGCAAAGTGTTTTGTCTTAGTTTCAAAATTTTGAGGGTGCATAAGGTGTCCAATAAAGCAAAGTTTGTTTTTGTTATTGAATTTTTGTGTTTCTTTTTACATTGTCGATTTTGTGCTATTTTTTGTTGGAATGTACTTTATTACCTATATCATTTTGAGGACATGTCATTATTTGAACCTTAAAGTTCAATGTTTGTTGCTTAATTATCTGTGTTAGCAGTTACTAGTTAATATTATTGTTCAATATTTGTTACTACTTCATTTAGATGGTTTATGACTTATTAAATTTGTTACTTTGAAAATTTGGTCGTGATTAATTTGTCTTGTTGCTATTTATCGATTTTTGCATATTATTCACAATGTTTGTGAATTTTTTGAATATTTATTGCATTGATTCACTCAAGCAATCACTTTTTTGGGGCGCCTCTCACCTCAGGCAACATAGGACCTCATTGTCTTGATTTCACTTTTTGCTTTTAAAACACTGCTTACCTACACACATAGAGGAGGTGTATATTATCATTCCAAACAGGGGTTGAATGTTACCCTCAAAATAAATGGCAGATAAGCAGGAACTTGGATCCTCAAATAAAATCTAAATTAATTTGACGTACTTTCCCTTATATTATATTATTTTATTTATAATAGTGTATTTCATTGGAGTTGTATGTTATCAGATTAAATAGGGGCTAAATAGCGCTCTCAAATAAACGGTAGATGAACAGAGAATTGAAGAGTCAATTCCCTAAGAAAACCTAATTATCTTGATGTACTCAACCTTAGTTTATTATATATTTTAGAGTTTAATCTAATGCAGCACACTGTATCATCATTTTGAATAGAGGACTGAAGAGTCCTTAAGAAAAGATGTCTGAACAGGAAATTAAAGATTCACTCAAACCTGGTCTACTCACTCTTATTACTTTTTTAGAACATAGTGTACTTTGATGGGGGTATAGATAGTGTATTATTACATTAGATATGGTGCTCAATAGCCTCTCCCTTCCCAAAAGAAACGAGAAGGAAAAAGGGTTATAGGTTCCCCTTGCGCCCAAGGTGCAAGCATCTGGTGCCTTGGCACTTTCCTTGTAAGCTATGGTGCCTGGCAAGCCAGTTTAGCTGGTCTAGAAAAAGACAATTCTCAGGTGCAGGTAAGCTATGGTGCCTGGCAAGCCAGTTTAGCTGGTCTAGAAAAAGACAATTCTCAGGTGCAGCACTTTAAATCACTGACCCATGTTAAGCGTGATGCTTTCACTTTCATCTTTTTTAATTGCTGCTGGCCTACGCTTTACATGATATGAAATTCTGTTACTTCCGTACCACAACCTTTAATAATCTTTCTGAATTCATGTGTAAATAATATATGGATTTTCTTAACTCTCTAAAGTTAGCTAACTATGGATCAGGATGTTCGGTTATCCTGGAACATCAGTCAAATATATAAACTGTAAATTTGTGCAGTTAAAAGATGAATTTCTACAGTTTGTAATTTTGTGTTATTTGTCTTTCTACCTTTTGCAGTAGCTCTTGGCAAGATTTGTCAACTTCCGCGTTTTCTTTTTCTGCTAATAATGACCAAAAATCAGGTATGATGTTTAAATCTTTCTATATTGCAGATTGAGTGACATAAA